ACCAGGAGCCCCACCAGGAGCCCCACCTGGAGCCCCACCTGGAGCCCCACCAGGAGCCCCACCAGGAGCCCCACCTGGAGCCCCACCAGGAGCCCCACCAGGAGCCCCACCTGGAGCCCCACCTGGCCAGGTGATGTCTTACCGACAGAACGAACTTCTGGTCGATGTACTTCTTGGCGACGTTGGGCTGGAAGTCCGGAGACTCCAGGAAGCGAAGGAAGAACTCGTACACCAGCTGTGGATTCACAGGTTGGGTCAGTTCTGGTTCTGGTTCTGCTCACCTGGACCTCCAGGAGTTGGAGTCGTACCTGCAGGTGAGGCCAGGCCGCCTCTAGCGTCGGCTCGTCTTCCTCCGGGTCGAACTCAGCGCCAGTCGGGTTGGAGGATGGAGGAAGAGTCCGGAACACATTTATGGAAAACTGCAGGACACAAACAGCCGTTACCATAGTGACGGTTCTGGTAGCTACATGTGCCTAGCTTGGAGTAAACGAGGAAACGCCAGACGTCCCAGGGCAAGTGAACATAGCACAATGAGGGAACCTTTGGTGCTGAGCTCCAGGCGGCGCCGAGGGGGCGGAGCTTCCTACAGACACGCCCATATGTTCACCTGGATACACCTGGGACTCACCATGACGACGGCCTCGGGGTAGATGCTCTCGGTCACCACCTCGCTGTTGTGCGTGATGTACTCCACCATCTCGTTAAGCCCCGCCCTCTTGACCTCCTTGTACTTGAGGTCGCTGAGCGGGTCGCTGATGAAGTCGAACAGGACGCAGCACTGCCGCAGCTTCTGCACGAACAGATCCTCACGCTCCGGGGGCGGGGCATCTGGGGACAGGGACAGATTCGGATCTGAATGGGGTCGTGTTCTGGTGCGGTCCAGTCCAGTCCAGTCCGGTCACCTTTCAGGGCGGGCAGCTTCTGCAGCTCGCGGTTCTTGGTGAGGCTGAACCGGGTCGAGCTCTGGCGCCGCTCCTTCTTCAGCAGCGTCGGGCCGCCGGAGTATTTGATCTTGTTGAGCTGCGTTGGCGGCGGCGTGCTGCAGCTGGCGCGCTTGTTGCCGCTCTGCTGCTGCTGCACCTGAAACACATGGGCGGGTCAGAGGTTCTGGTTCCGGTCGGGCCGCGGCGGCCGGGGCGACCCACCTCCTCCGGGTTCTCCGGCCCGCCGTCCTTCACGCTGCTGCTGTTCTTGGAGGTTTTGGAAGATTTGCTGGATTCCTGAAAAACAACAAACCAGAACCAGAACCAGAACCATGGTGTTACTCTGTTAAACTGATCAGAACCAACGCTGGAACCGGGTCCGAGAAATCGGGCCCAAATGATGAAGAACATGGTTATAAATCGGATCACAACTTCCTGGGGAGAACTTTTCAGAATAAAGTGGAGGAAGTTCAGGGAGCAGAGTTCTGACCCGGTTCTGGATCAGAACCATCAGAACCTCATGGAGTAGGGATCACCTGCGGGTTCCTTTAGATCTGGACCAGAACCCGGTCATGTGCTGCAGCAGATCCATAGAGATCCAGTGACTTTCATCAGGTCCGGACCAGAAACCGAGCCAGAGAAATCAGCTGGTCCAAGAGGAGCCGATCAGAACCAGAACCCTGAGGTTCTCACTGATCGCACAGGAACCGGGTCCATCAGAACCGCTCTATACATGAGACCGGCTGATGGTTCTGGATCGCTGGTTCTGACCCAGTGATCCGGAACCGGACTGCGGGGAAGCGCAGCCTCGGAGTCGCTGGGATGAGTCACGCAGCCCGGGGACAGCCAGCAGCCGAGCCCCGGAGCTCCCAGGCGGATCAGAGAGCCAGCTACTCCCGGAGCTCCCGGCTCCCTCGCAGCCGGGACACACCCACCCGGTACCGGCGGGACTGAGCGGAAGCAGCTGGTCTCGGTTCTCTTGCTCCTCTGTGGACACCTTTAGCTCTCCTGAAGTTGGCCTGTGACCGATAGTAAGGACCGTTACATCTATGGAGTTATTAACCAGCTCAAACTGGTTAAACTGGTGCAGGTTACTGGTTTTATTTCAACAATGACTGTTAAATCAGGAGGTTCAGGGACTCTGTTCTCCTCTGATCAGAACCAATCAAACAAACACTTTCATTCTAAAATCAGACTCTAAAATTTAAAAGACTTTTCTGAAGATGAACTTAAAGCTTTTCCTCCATTAGCGCCTCCTGCTGGTGGCCCCAGGTGATTTCTATATTTATGAAAAAGATTCTTAAACCTTTAAGCAATCAGACTTTAACTCTACGGAATGACCCTTTACTGATGCTACCAATCACGAGCCGACTTCAGCGTTGTGTGATGCTAACGGGCCTTTTAGTCGTTTAGCTTCATCAAATCTGAACCCGCCTTCACCCCGCTGTCCCTCCACGCTCCACGGGTAAAGGCTCCACGCAACCTCCGTAGCCCACACTCACCTTCTCCTTCTTCGGCTTGTTCGGCATCTTGTCCGCGGCGCTGACTTCTCCCACGGAGCCTCTGCGATCCTCCTCCCCGGGACTCAAACGCTGTCACTCGGTCAGTCTACTCCGTGCGCCCGCTACCCCACACGGCCAATGCGATTGGCTGCCGGAGCCGCCGTCTGCCTAGCGACGCGTGCAGGGATTTTTCCTATTGGATAAACGTGAGTTTAACAGCGAGGGTGAGGCTGCAGGGAGGCGATGCGGGTCTGGAGTCTTCCCCAGCAACACAGAACCCCTCCAACCTGAGGAACCCGAACCGAACCACACACCAACCCTCCAACCTGAGGAAGGCGGGTTCCGAACCGAACAGAACCAGGAGAAGGTGGATGTTCTCCGCAGGGACCAGATGTTCTTACCTTCAGGTTCTGGTTCTGAACATTAAACTTTAATCCAAGGAGGTCAGAACATGGTTTGGTTGGTTCTGGAAAGTTATGCAGTCAAAACGGGAATAATCTGAGTTATTTAGCCTGTTATTCATGTCACCGTTTCAAACTAAATATTTAGATCTAAACTAACGCTTAGTTTTCTAATTACAAGAAACTAAGCGACAGAAAGATTAACCTTCATTTTTCTCTGACAGGCAAAAGTATGAAGGCTAAGATTTATTTTTTTCTTTGAGAATAAATTCATAATATTAGCAGAATAAAGGGGAAGCTTTATGAGAACCACGAAAAGTAAGAAATTAAAATGAGAAATGTTGAGCATGTTGTGAAGTTATAGTTTAGTAACAACTTCATCAGATCATCAGATAAGGGATGAAGCACCTAACCTCAGTCCGTCTTGCTTTAGAAACTTTCAAGCAACGCAAGAAGAGAAGGGTTCAGAACATTCTTTATTAAAACTGCTGAAAGAAACAAATATTACAGCGTCAGCACGATGGAGGAGAAACATCTGCAGGCAAGAACACGGGAGCCGCTGGTGTCTAGATCTAAAGAGGAACATGACTTTAAATCCAAACCACAGAAACCTGCAGAGACTTTAGGAAATCAAAACGTCTTATTGGTGGAAAACAAGGAGTCTGACGTAGAGCCGGGGCTTCTGGGAGGAGGTCAGATCTCCACGTCAGTCTGGTACTTTAACAGTCCAAGTTTCCTTAACTTGTCATGTCCTCCCGCCCTGTAAATACCTCTGGGACCCCGGCATCCTACTCAAAGTTAAAAGTGTAGTCAAAGTCCAGGGCGGTCATGTCTGAAGGGAGACCCAAGGTTTCCGTGGTGACATCCGTCCCTGGAGGATCCGTCTCTCTGTGCGAGGCGGCCTCCTGCTCCGGATCAGGCGACTCCAGACCTTTAGCTTCTGACGCCGTGAGGTCCTGGTTCCCTGCCCCTGGGTTCTGTTCGGGTTCTGGTTGACTCTGCTGCTGACGAGTCTGGTATCGGGTCTGGGAGCGGGTCTGACGAACCGGAGCAGCAGAAGGGGTCTTCTTCATTGCTGCTGCCTTACCTCTGGTTCTAGGACTTGGTTTGGGTTTAGGCTGTGGTTCTGGAGTTGTCTCTTGATGTGAATTAGCATCCTGGTCTATTTGGGGTTCAAACTGAGTTTCCGGCTGGAACAGTGGCTCAGCTGCTGGTTCCATCGAAATGGGCTTGGTCTGTGGGCAGATTTGAGATTTACGCCCAGGACTAGTGGGAGGACTTTGAGACAATCCTTCAGTAGGAGCTGATGGAGTCTGTTCTGAGTGAGGAGGTGGGTCAGATGGTTCAGGACCTGCAGCCTTATCTGTTGGAGCTGTGATGTCCTGAAGAGACCAAACGGAGGTAATTTGAATGTCACCATCAGCCTGGGTTTGTGGGCTTTGAAACCCGTTCTGTGGAGAAGTTGGTATTGTATTTGGAGGTTCAGTAGAGGTGGGCGACAGAGAATGGTGTTGGGGGGCCGTTTGAGGTTCATGTGACGGCTCCTTCTGATGATCCGGGGGTTGAGATTCAGGTTTTTGTTGGGTTTGTTGAGGTTGTGGTTGGGTGAGTTTTAGGGCTTTAGGCTCATTTTGGAGTTGTGGTTCAACCTGAGGTTGGGATTCAGGCATTTCCTGTGTTTGGGGTCTGGGTTCATCTGGGGGCTCTGATTGGTTGTGGGTCTGAGTTGGGAGTATGTTTGGTGTTTGGGTTTGATCTTGTGATTGGATCTGGGGTTCAGGTTTATTTTGGGGCTGATTCTTATTTTGGACTGGGGCTGAAGGAGAACCTTTACCAGCTCCAACGTCGGTTTCTGTTCTGGAGAAAGAGGAAGGGCCGGCTTGGCCGAGGCTGCTGTAGAAGATGTCAAATAAGGCCTGAGCCTTGGCTGCAGCCAGGTTGCCCTGGAGCTTCTCCGACTTCTGAGGCCCCGCTAGCATGCTCTTGAAAGGAGGTGGCTTGACGAACACGGTGCGAGTCTGCTCACTTTCCGGGACGCCAGGAGCCGCCACATCGGACACAATCTTTATCAATGCTGGTTGTGAAGGCGTAGCTTTGGATGGAGTGAGTGGAGCAGCGGGAGCTGGAGGAGTCGCAGCTTTAACCTCTGATGGAGCAGACCGAGTTTCTGAGGATGCTGTGTTTAACGGAGCAGGGGAAGTTGTTGAAGGACTACTCTGTCCTGTTGCAGGTTTTGACTGGACCGGAGCAGGTTTAGGGAACAGTGGCCCTTGCTTCATTTCAGGTTTTGACTCAGCTGAATCAGGTTTAGAGGTATTCTGACATGGTCCAGGTTTCAACATTGAAGGAGGGAGTTTAGGACCAAACTGCTCTGGTCTGGTCACCGTGGGTGCAGCAGACATTACCCCCAACGGTCCAGCAGAGCTTACTGGAGGCCCGGGTTTGTTGTTGAACATCTGTGGGTTTGGGGGCCTGAAAGGGGCCCTAGGAAAAGGCCCTGGTGGACCTCCATCGGTGCTTTGGGGTCTCATGTTCAGAAATGTGTTAAGGGATGCAGGTTTTCCTGCCAGGGAAGCTCTCCTCAGCGGAGCCACAGGAGCACGGAGGTTTGGCCGGATCTGTCCTCGACCAGACGTGTACCAAGGTGGAGATTTTAGCTCCTCACCGGCCAGCTTCTCAGCAATCTCTTTGGCAGCAGCCACTGACTTGGAGAAGGAGTCCTCTTCTTCCCCTGGCTTCTCCTTTGCAGCTGCTTCTTCGTCCTTGAGGAACTCTGCTGCAACTTTCTGGGCTTCCTTTGCCAGCTGGTTCTCTTTCTTCTTCCATGTGAACTTCCCAAACGAAGTGGCGGAGGCTGCAGAGGCCGGTGCTTTGCTGGCCTCCATCGCCTGCTTGCGGAGCTTCGCCCTCATGGCCGGACTCGGCCCACAGAAGATCTTGGGCAGCTCGTAGGGTTTTGGCGGAGGTTCAGACTTCCTGGCGTCTGGTTTCCCTCCTGGTTTCTCAGGCTCGGCTTTATGCTTCCCTTCATCTCGCTCTCGATCATGTTTAGATCTGGAATCTGAACATTTCTCCTCCTTGTATTTGTCCTCGGTGCATTTATTGCCGTACTTTGGATGACCATCGTCGTCCCTGCGATGGCGGTGCCGATACTCTTCGTCTCGACTGCTGCCTCTGTACCGGCTGTTCCTGTCTTCATTCTCTCTGCTGTTGTGTTTCTCCTCCTTTTTGCTCTGTTTGTACTTTTCATCTTCATCTTTCTTGCTATAAAACTTGTCTTCCTCCAGGCTCTTTCTGACTGCCTTCACTTTCTGCTCCTCTTCCTCTTTCTTTACTTTGATTTTTTCATCGCAGGTCTCGGCAGCCTCCTCTTCCTTCTTTTTGTCCTTTTTGTTTTTGTTCTTATCGTCTCTGTCTTTATCGTCGTCGTCATATTTGCGTTTCTTTCCGCCTGCCTCCAAACCCAGGCCCGCCTGCCGGTCCAGATTCCTCCTCTGCTCATACAGCGGATTCTCCACCATTTGTTTCTGGTGAAGGAAGCATGAAAAACAGAAATATGCATGAGTTTAGGTCCTGGGAACGTTTTTATTGCTGAGACGAGAGGTCTTCAACGTGGGGAGGTCCTGCAGGGATTTCTGATTATTTTTGAAATATTTCTTTAAATTCACAGCTATGTCTTTAGATACATACTAACATGAATCCAACATAATAAAATTATCTGTGATTACATTGTTTTGTTTTATTAATTTATCAGAATTAAAATGGGGTGAACTGGGATGTTGTACCGGGTTTCACCACAGGGTGGCGGTGCTTCCCCAGTCCGCTCAGACACTTGAAGAAGAGCAGACCAGTAAAGACTTTAGCTCCAAGTTGTGACCAGACGACGTTTTGAGAGTGAAAGAACTGTTCTGCTGCATTAGCACTTCAGCATTAGCATGCTAGTTGCCCTGCTAGCTTAGCAGCTAACTTTTGAGGAAGCAAAGTCAGAACCAGTGCAGCCGAGAACTGGGCCTGGGGTCCATGTCTGAAAGGATCCAGTTCTCTGCAGCAGCTGGAGGTGAAACTACACCAGCCGGCCTCCTTTAGCTCATACCTTGTATTTCTCATTGTGAGAGTGTGTGATGACGTGTTCCTCAGCACAGATGGCGTCTCCATAAAACTCCTTACACAGCAGGCAGAAGAACCCTCTGACAGGAACCAGGAACTCTGACCCTGCAGTCAAACACAAGCAGCACCGTTCAAACACCGGGCAGGAGACAAAACCAGCTTCCAATAGTGTTTACCTGGCGGACATCAGAACCTGTCAGGACCGAGAGATTCAGAGAAAATAGTTGCTGTTTCTATAGAGAATGGTGAGCAGTTATCTCAGAGCGCTAGCTGATGGAAAAACTAATGAAAAGACATCAGAAGGTGTAAATGTCTTCTTCTCTGACACAGAGGTCCAATCTGAGTTCCACCTGGAAGTAAAAGACAGCTAACAAAATTCAGTGGCTCAGAGACCACATCAGCAGCCGCAGCTTTAATTGGATCAAATCTCGACATGGTGCCAGTACCTTTGGCTGGTTTGGTCCGTTTGGCGTCTCCTGCGGTGGTCTTGGGGGTCTTGGTGGGACTGGAGGCCCAGGGCCGATCGTACGGATCCAAAGTCTGCGAGCAAAAACACCCACGGTGAAATTGATCAGAGGAGAAAAGTGAGACATCAAACCGTGTGAAGAACAAACCTTCCGGTGCGGTTTGCTGTGTAAGTGTGTGAAAAAGTCAAACATGGAACCAGAAGTGATGTTACAGTTTTTGCACCAGTGGTTCCCAGCGTCATAATACTCAAACGGGTCAGGGGGCGGAGCCTCAGCGGTGAAGAGCAGCCGTTCTGGCGAGGCCTTCGTCGAAGTCGCTGGGGTTGCCTAAAAAAATAAAGGAAAGCGGCGATTGAGTAGAGCAGGAGGAGACGGAGACGGTCAGGACAGAAACAACAAGCAGCTACGAAGTGAAAACGACTTACCTGGACAGAGTCCAGCACCGACGGCAAAGATGGACTCGACATTCGTCACGCAACCATCACGAAATAAGACGAAATCAATGAAAACAAAACAGGACAAAGTCGGCGCGCATCATACAACGTTCCTGCAGAAACTCCTGTCCGGTTTAACGCCACCGATGAGTAAAAACCGGGAAGCCACATTTACAGCTGGATCTTGGTGTTGCAGCGCCCCCTGCAGGAACCCTTTAGGTCAGGTTGTTCATCAGCAAGATAAAGATTCAGATGAGCTGGAAGCGATTACAAGTTGGTTTGGTAAACGGCAGAGAGGTCCAATCAGGTTCTGGTTCGCTCAGAGGGTCAGGCTGTATGAACCGGCTTCATATTCAGTCTTCATCTTTTATGTCCAGGTGACATTAAAGCTTGGTTGGCCTTGAACTTTTTAAATTTTAATGAAAACAAAGCAGAGGTGATG